TGCCAAACAAAAGGTACAATTGTATGTGCAATACATACATATACATATATATATGCATACAAACATATATATATATATATATATACATCCATATACATATACATAAGAATGACAACGGTAGGAAGCTTGTACGGTAAAAGGTCGCCTACAAATTCTTGCACGAGTAAGATCACACGACACGAGAATAGACTAAATGTTCCAAAAACCAAGAAAAGGCTAAAACTATTATGTTTGAGAAAATAGCCTTGCCGTTACATTTCGAATTACAATGAAATTAACATGGAAAATAAGAAAATAAAATAGAACTGACAATAAACACCACCTGCTGAGCGCACTTCAGCCAATCTTCCATAAAATTCCAGTTTCGCGCGTGCGCGCGCACAGATGTAGATATATATATATATATATGAAAAGTATTAATTATAAATAATTTTAATTAGCTACAAATGCAAAGCTACAAAGATTTATAATCAACTAAAATTACTAATTAAAAAATAGAATAAAAATATATTAAATTCTATTTAAATAAATATTTTAAAAATAATAATAAGATTTAAATCTTACCCCTACCTTTAACATCCTACGGCTTCATTGCTATGGCTGTCAAAACGGCTCGTTGTTCACAAAAAGCTCGTTCAGCTCGCTAAGCAAACGAGCAAAACACAAATAATTTTTTGCACTCGATATATGAACAGTTCAAACACAAGCGGTGGTATTTTTTAACATGTTGAACATGAGCTGAGCCTGGCACTTTCATATTTGCATAAATAACACATAGTTATATCTATTATCAGCAGGCCAATATTAAACAAGACTTTGCCAGAGAAAAAAGATCAAACATTTCTCTGGACACACCATCAGCTTCTTCATTCACATCCAACCAAATACTGAAATTAAGCCTTTTTACCAATCTTAAAATTATGTTTTCTGTTCAGAAGCAATCAAACAGGTCTTGCAGAAAAATTTGTAACAGTCCCCTGCAAAACAAACAAACTTGGCACTTTTATAAACTCTAGGACTGAAATAAAATCATGTAAAATGTCAAGGGACTATTTTGGCACTTTTCGCATTTGCAGTGACTTCCACCAAGTACAATCTTCTTAATAAAAAGCAATTAACAAAACTCTAACAGCCACATATCATATCAGCAGACCCTTATCTCCCATTAATCTTGACTAAGAGAGCCTCATTCGAGTTAGTCATATTCACACAAGAAATATTAATGTGGCGTCACTAGAAACATACCTATTGCAAATTAAATTTTTTCAGACATGCTATGCAAGCCAACTGAAACCGAGCTCACAACAAAAACGTAAAATGACAGCACTAAATAGGTGACAGTAACAAAAAAGGAGCTATTTCTCTCTGCTCGAGTTGTGAGACAATGATATGAAATAATGTGGCAGCTAAACTTATTCTTCATGCTAAGATGAAATATACTGATATGAACCTGCACAGATTTTCACATAAAATTTAGGGCAACATATAATTTATTACACGAACAACAAACACAATGCAAATACATAAAGATAAGCAACTGCAATTCGAGAGGTAAGCGATCTCTCTTAATTCCTAAAATTCGAAAGAGAAGAAATCTCTCCCAAACCCTAAAGATGAGGGTCCATTTGGGGCAACTTATTTGGTGCGGTGGCGTTTTGAAAACCCACTTGGCCTGTTTGGGTAACCTGCGTTTTGGCAGCTTATGCGTTTTGAAAACGCTGAGCGGTCTAGCTTTTCCAAAAAAATAAAAATTTGTAATAGTCACTACATCTAGCTTATCAGCAGATTATTCAATAAGCTACAGCATCCCCAAAAACATACCCTAAGACTCACAATAATAATCTTATGTATAACTCTACCCTAAACTAAAAAGCCCTATTTAAACCAAATAATAAAATATAAATTTGCCCTTAGGCTAGACACCACTGTAACATATACATCCCCTTGATGCTAGTGCTTGAATATACATGTTAGGATTTGTTGTTAATTTTGATATTTGAATGGGAATTTAACAAATCGAGGTACAACAAATATTAATTTTGTAGATAGTCATAATTTCAGGGTACATGGTTAAGCATCAAATGGTTCACCTTATTAAATAGCAACCTTGCATGTCTATACCGATTGCTAGAAAAACCTCCCCCGAGTACTTCATAAATAATTTCAAAACAAAGAAAATTTTCATCTTCAATTCAAGGTCAATCACTAGTTCATCATTGCTTCTCTCAAAAAAGAAAAAGAAATGAAATCTAAAAATAAAATAACAAAAAGGAGAATTACATACATACCGCTGAATTCTTATGTATTTAAATTTCACGTGGTTTGCCTTATTTGATGGCAACCTAGCATGTTTATATGGGCTGCTTGAAAATCCTCTGCCGAGGCCACCCTCAATAGTTTCAGTACAAGGAAAAAATCGACCGCTTTTCCAAATGAAGAACACAAAATTATATCTAAAAATTAAATAAGATCGGGACTATATAAACATACCACTGAATTATTATATATTTTGGGGCATTTACATACATACCGCCAAATTCAGGTGTATTTACAAATATAACAGCTAAACTTCTTAAAATGGTAGCCTTGCAGGCCTTAATGGGTTGCATGAGAAGCCTACACTCAGGAGCCATCCTCAACAGTTTCAATGCAAAGAAAAATTTCACCTTTATTTCAGGATTAATGGTTGAATCATCATCGCTTCCCACAATAAAGAGAAAGAGAAACGAAATCTAATAAAAATAATAATGGGGCATTTAAATGCATAGCACTGAATTCTTAAACTTTCTAAAAATTAAATAAAATAGGGACTATGAATACATAACACTTAATTATTATGTATCTAATTTGGGCTTTTACAAACATAGCACCAAATTTCGATGTATTTGCATAGCACCTAAACTTTAGGATGGTTCACTTATTTTAATGGCAGCCATCCATGTCTATATGGGTTGCCTAAGAAGTATTCGCCCAGGCCATCCTCATTAGTTTCAGTGAAAGGAAGAATTCCATCTTTATTTCAAGATCAATAGATGATTCATCACTAGGGCTGTCAAAAAAGCTCGTTGTTCGCAAACAGTTCGTGTTCGGTTCGTCAATGAGTTTGTGTTCGATTCGTTCAATAAGTAAACGAGACGAGCGTGAACAATTTTTTTTCATTCGGTTAGTTAAAAGAACCAAACACGAACAATGATGAGTTCGTTCGTGTACGAATCGTTATTATTCGAAATATAAATAATTTAAAATAATTATATATAAAAATTTATGATATTTTAAAAAATTAAATTTTATAAATTATAATATATAATAAATTAATAATAATAATATATTAATATACTATATTAGTAATATACTAATATAGATATTATATATTTATATAATATAAGTTATATAATTAATATACTATATTATTTATATATATTAATATTAAGGATGTCAAACTGGCTCGTCGTTCGCGAACAACTCGTGTTCGGCTTGTTCGTTAAGAAACGAACACGAACAGTGATTTCAAGAACAATTTTGAACACGAACTCATTTCAAACAAACTAAATTTCAAACGAACCAAACACGAACACAAGCTCTGTTCGTTCGTGTTCTGTTCGTTTACACCCCTATTCATCACCACTTCCCTCAATGAACAAAAGCAACAAAATCTGAATATAATAAAAATAGTGGATCTATATTCATACCACTGAATTCTTAAATATTTAAACTTCACAATAAATAACATCTAAAAAATAAATAAAATAGGGGCTATATATACATACGACTGCATTATTTTGCATCTATTTTGGGGCATTTACATAAATACCACCCAATTCCTATGTATTTATTTTTACAAAACACCTAAAATTTAACATGGTTCATTTTCTTTTCAGGGCAGCCTTGCATGTCTATATGGGTTGCCTGAGAAGGCTCCGCCCAGGCCATCCTCAATAATTTCAGTCCATCCCCAATAGTTTCAGTGCAAAAAAAAATTCCATCTTTATTTCAAGAGCAATCAATGATTCATCATCACTTCCCTTGATGAAGAACAATAAACAAAATCTAAAAAAAAATAAAAGTAAGGGATTCACATACATACCACCAAATTCATAAATACTTCAGATTCACAAGAAATGAAATCCAAAAATTGAAAAAAAGTAGAGGAATGCATTGGGCCTATTGTGTGTGATAGAAAAGTACCGCTTAGACTTAAAAGAAAATTTAATAGGATGGTGGTGAGACTTGAAATGCTTTATGGAGCAGATAGCTGGCCTATAAAAGGGTGGCATAAAATTTAGTGTTGCTGAGAAGAGAATGCTCTGATGGATGAGAAAAAAATAAAAGGGAATTACATACATACCACCAAATTCATAAAAACTTAAACTTCACAAGAAACGAAATCTAAATATTGAAAAAAAGTGGAGGAATGCATTGGGCCTATTGTGTGATAGAAAAGTACCGTTTAGACTTAAAAGAAAATTTAATAGGATGGTTGTGAGACTTGCAATGTTTTATGGAGCAGAATGTTGGCCTATAAAAGAGTGGCATAAAATTAAGTGCTACTGAGAGGAGAATGCTCTGGTGGATGAGTGGCTTTACTTTTAGAAACAATGTGAAACGAATACATCTATAAAAGTTGGAGTAGCTCCAGTGGCAAACAAGATTACAGCTGCCTTAGATGGTCTGGTCACATTAAACGTTGACCGCTTAAAGATTGTGTTAAAAAAGGTAGAGCTGACTTAAAAAGACAAGGGCATTTTGTATAAAAAATCATTTTATTTTATTAGAATTAAATGAAAATATGGAAAATATGACAATATGACACTCAATAGGACACAATGGAGACATAAGATTCATATAGGCTTGCTGTTGTTTGTTGTACATACATATCATCCAATTGTTGTGCATTTGCATATATAACAACTAAACTTTAACCTGGTTCGCCTTTTTTAATGGCAACCTTGCATATCTATATGGATTGCCTAAGAAACCTGCACCCAAGCCGTCCTCAATAGTTTCAGCACAAGGAAAAATTCCAACTTTATTTCAAAGTCAATCCATGCATCATCATCGCTTCCCTCAATGAAGAACAAGAAACAAAAACCAAAAACAAAAATAGGGAAATATACATGTGTAGCACACAATTCTTATGTATTTACACATCTCACATCCAAACTTTCATATTTACCTATATAGCAATTTGGAGCTTTAAAACTCCATCCTCAATAGTTTCAGTGCAGGGGAAAAAAAAAAGGGATATTGATATTCATACCACTGAATTCTTAAATATTTAAACTTCACATGATTCTCCTTAATAGCAGCCTTGCATGCCATAAGTCCATCCTCCATAGCTTCATTACAATAAGAAATTCCATCTTGAGTACAAGATCAATCAATGAATCGTCACTGCTTCCCTCAAAAAAAACCAAGAAATAGAATTTAAAAATTAAATGAAAATATGTGATTTACATACATACGACCGAATTCTTACGTATTTAAACTTCACATGGCTCATTTTATATGATGGCAGCCTAACATGTCTATGTGATTTGCCTGAGAAGACTCCAACCAGGAAAAATTCCATCCTTGGTTCAATATTAATGAATGATTCATCATCATTTCCCTCAACAAAAAGCAAGAAACATGATCTCAAAATAAAAATTAAATACGGAAAATTTACATACATACCTAAGAATTATAATGTATTTACACATCTCATGGTTCACCTTATTTAATGGCACCCTAGCATGTATATAAAAGCTAACAGAGAAGCTTCCCCGGATGAATTCCTCAATAGCTTTGAGAATAAAGAAAACTTCCAGCTTAAGCTCAAGGTCAAACGATCATTCGCCATCACTTCCCTCATTGTAGAACAAGAATATGACAATAAAATTAAAATAATAGAAAGTTTAACATACATACCACTGATCTCTTATACATTCAACTTTCTTACGGTTCTTTCCTGGCAGTCCAGCATGGTAGATTTTAGAAAATTAGGTGAACTCGGATTTGGTAAATTTCAACAGGATTACAACCTAAAAACTGTTAAATCCTAGAAATGATAACATTTAAAATCACAAACATAAGTTAGTTGAAACGGAAGCTAATTCCTGCTTAATGGCATACCAAACAACCCTTTATCTTCCAATCCATCCTCCGAATCATAACATGAACTGCAGGTGTTGCCTGAGAGGTGTGAAGCCCAATACAAGATAAGCTAATTAGGCCAAAACCGACGAAGCAACAAGGAGGACAAAAGGACAACCGAGTGATCCAATTGAGAACAAAAAATACATAATAAAAAATAAAAAATAGCAGCCTTGCATGTCCATAAAGCCATCCTCCGTATTTCATTACATGACAAATTCCCATCTTACGTACAAGATCAATCACTGATTCATCATCGCTTCCCTCATAGAATAGCATAAAGTAGAAAATAAAAATAAAATTTTAAGCGTGCTAGAAAATTCATGGCGGTAGAGTAATGGATTATCGTCTTGGCGTTGCACGATAATTCAACACACTCTCAAATAAAAGAAAACAACCAGCAGTGACACCAAATTTTGATTTGAATTGGATTGGACCAATTTTGATACCATTGGGTCCGCCTCGTCAAGCAAGTCTATTTGACTGTAAGTTTGCTGAAATTGGGGCTTTAGAAGAATTCTTATCAAAGTTTACACATTTTTTCCTTAAAAGATTGTCTAAAGCTCCGTGGCATACCTCGAGATTAGTGTTGAAAGTTGGAATTTTGTTGATGGTGTATCAAGATTATAATGGGACATCTACATACCACAAAATTTGTATGTATTTAAACTTCACATCGTTCATTTTATTTAATGGAAAACTAGCAAGCATATGCAAGAAGCCTGAAAAGACTCCGACCAGGCTATCCTCCATAGCTCGAGTAAAAGTAAATATTCCATCTCAAGCTTAAGGTCGATCAATGATTCATCATCATTTTCCTCAATGAACACCCAAAACATAATCTTAAAATGAAAAAAAGAAAAATTGAAAATTTACATACATACCACAGAACTCTTATGTATTTAAACTTCACGTTCCGATTATTTAATGGCATTCTTACTGTCTATTTAGTCTGCCTGAGAAGCTTCGCCCCATGCCATCCACCATAGCTTGAGAACAAAAAAAATTTCCATATTAAATTCAAGGTCCATCGATGATTTGCCATCACTTCCCTCGATGAAGAACAAGAGCGGGAATCTAAAAAATAAGATTAAAAAAGAGTTACGTACAAACCACTGAATTCTTATGCATTTAACCTTCATATGGTTCCCAATGTTTAATGGCAGCACTGGATGGCTGAATTTAACAAACCCTGCGAAGCCAGATTTAGTAAATTTAGAGAGGATTAAAACCAGAAAACTGTTAAATCCCTGGAATGATGAGATTTAAAATCCCAAATATATGTTCGTTGAAACGGAAGCTAATTCCTTCTTAATGGGATACCAAAAAACACTTTATCATCTTCCAATCCATCCTCCGAATAATAACATGACTGCCCGGATTGCCTGAGAGGTGCGAAGCCCCACACACCAGGCCATCTTTCATGACTTGCCATTCGGAAAAAAGTGTTGTTCTACAAATATCTATTTACAAATCGAACACCCACATTGATCGAGAAGCATCCCTGAGTCCTGATGTAATAATAACACAATAACACATTAATAATAACACACAATAACATCTGAATAACACACAATAACACCTGAATAATACAAGGGGAATATAAGGGATCGATCACCTCCACGGAGCGGCTTAATTTTATTAACGTAGCTCTAAGTGCGGAGTACTGATGTAATATTTTTTCAAGAATCAGAGAAGAGAATAAAGAACATTTCATTATTCTAATCTTGCTGAACTCTAAAAATATTTGGAAGATTTACATAAATACAAGATAATCACCTGCAGAGAACAAGAAACATTGCTATTTACAAATCAAGCATCTAGGTGATTTTTTGAACTATCGGAGTATTTACGCCTGTCACGATCAAACCATTGCAAAGTTGACAAAAATGAAAAATAAGAGTTGTGGTTTTATCATGACCTTTGATATTTCAGTAATAATTTGAGAAATGGATGAAAGAGAGTGCTTAATCGCCCCAAAATTTTTGGCCCAAATCCTAACAAAGCTAAATCCAGGAGTAGGGCGAGAGGAGCTTGGCAGGAAGGAAAAGAAATACGAGGGTTAAACGGACAGGAGCAGAGTAGAAAGAGGAGATATAAGAGAGCTTTAGAGATTTGTACACTGCGATCCCGTCGTCATCTTCCCTCCCAGCAAGCTGCAGACGCCACCGTACTGCCTCGGGTTTCGGGCACGGGAGGAGAAGAAAGGGGAAAGTAGGCAACGGTTTCCGGGGGAAACCGGGAAGGGTGAAGCGAGGCAGACGAGGTTTGCTGAAAGGAATGGGAAATGAGTAGGTTTCGGATTTAATGTAATTTTTATTAGTAGCATTTGCATTGATGCTGCTCAATTTTTATGCAATTACCCTGCAGCCTTTAACATAGACTTGGTAGCGTAAAGATGAAAAGTGAATTTCAGGTTTTAGATATGTAAATACATAGGAATCCAGTGATATGGTTTAAATACCTTTTTTTAATTAAATTAATTATAATTAATGCTATTAATTTAAAATAATATCGAATTAATCATAATTTAAAATTTATTTGTAATAATTTATAATTTATAAATATAAATTGATTTGGAATGATGGCCAATTATTAATTAATTAACAAATAAGACTTGTTAAATAAGAAAATAGTTTGATAAATGATTAAATTAAAATTTTGATTAATTAGTAAACAAATAATCATTCATTTATTAACAAAATTACAAATAATTTTTGAATTAAATTTATTGACGCTTAATAATTGCATAATTTATATGTAATACTAAACTTATATTTCAGCTAATAGACCAAATACTCAGATAAATTTTCAAGCATTTTCATTGGATAAATTTAACAGATTAGTTTACCAAAGCATAAACGCTAATGCAGCTAGAATTTCATAGCAATCAGTGAAGATGCACATATAAAATGTGTCAGCACGAATCTCGAGATAATAATCAAGATATAGATTAGAAAGCCTCCTGACCGACTAAAAAACCCAACTTAGAATCAGCCTGCCAAAAAAACCAACTAGCCACACCAAAGCCAACTAGTCCCCCGATCAAAAGCCAAATGAAATCCACTTAGTCGTCCGACCCAAACAGAGCAGAAGCTCCAGGCATGCAAAACAACTAGAATGCCCTGCAAACTTCAAGCTTCATCACTACTAGAAAAATTTGGAGACGAATAGGCTATGAGCTTTCTGATTGTCTCCAAACTTTTTATTGCTGTCGTGGAAAGCTTTCTTAGCTTCAAAACCTGTAAAAGAAGGTTTCAAACATGGAAAGGAATTGAACATCAATTACTTGCTAAGTTGCTCAACAGGATTCACAAAGTTGGGACAGCATACATTCGATCTGCACTAGCAATTTATCTCATGAAGTTCATTTTTTTGTGAATGGGTAGGTCCAAAAGCACGCAAGAATCACGATAACAAAGTATACAGCAATAAGATCTTCCTTTGCAGTTAAAAACAACCTGAGAAATTCACAGAAATGTTTCTAAGACTAGGGATTTATAAAAATCCAGCTTGCTTAGCATAAAACAATACCAAAACCTTACAAAATCCAAGGCTTGATATACCATCACTTTTATTTCCTATTTTTATTTTAATTAAAAAAAATATTTGATTGATATAACTTTTATATTTTTTATTTTTTATTTTTAAAAAAAAATCAACTTTTTTTTAATACTCAAAACACCTAAAAGATATTTGAGTGCTTTTAAAACCAACCAATTCCATCAAAAATGTTTTAATTTTAATCAAAACAAAAATAAAACAAATTACGAAATTGAAAAATAAAAAATAAAAAATAAAAACTGATCTCATCAGTTCTATTTCTATATTTTTGTTTTTATCTTGTTTTGTTTATATTTTGATTTAAAACAAAAAATATTTGATTATTTGAATAAAATATAGTTGTTTTAAAAATATTCAAAACATTTACAATTTATTTTG